CTTCCTTCCTTCCTTCCTTCCTTCCTTCCTTCCTTCCTTCCTTCCTTTTCCAGGGCACCTCACAATTATAGAATTCTCCTCCCTTCCTCCCATCCATCTCAATTTCATGATTCTGGGAGGCTCAAAAACAATGAAAAAGAGCGTAAGAAACAAGAAAACAGCAACACTTATTTCAACTGCAATTTGGGGGGAAAACAAATTCACCAGAACTTAGAGGCAACCGCTGAATGGGCTCCTGACACCCCCCACCCCGGTCCAGGGACAAATTATGTCCCTAAGGCCTTAAAAAAAGGGGGACAGCTGGGTCTAATCCCTGGGGGAATTGACATTTAAGAGGTCAGGTGCCGTGCAAGTCATCCTGCTTAATAAGGGTGATTGGCATAATGTGCCCTTATAACACCTTTGCTTTTTCCAGCTGCCCCAGTTCCCTTACTGGGAGCTTCTAATACCTCTCAAAAGGCATTAAAAGGTCTAGCTCCCCCCCTCCCCAGACCCGCCCTGACCCCGGTACTGGTCAGGAAGTGGAACCATCCTGTCGGGTGAAGTTTTGCTTGACATCCTTTCGGTGCATCTATTATTAGTTGACTGTGTTATTTTTACCTGGACCTAATTTGAGGTTTACTAATTCATTCAGTCTGTCCTGGGTTGTGTACTTAGCAGGCCGCCATATAAATAGAAGAAATAGGGTTGTTGTTTTTTAAAAGGATTTAAATATCAGCAAGCGTGTTTGTTAAAACATTGCGTGATCTCTTGGTCCTTTTTTTATTTTAGACCAACAGCATCGGTCTAATTCCTTGACTCGGGCAGACGGGCAGCCTCGGGATTCGATCCTTGCGTGGCCGGAGAAGAAGCAAAGGTAACCCCTGCCAGCTGGTTTGTGGATCAGGCCCATCTAAAATAGGACAGCCTGCATTGAAGTTGAGCCAAATAATCAGTGACAGATTTCAAATCCCCAAGCGCTGCTTGTTAAAGGCAGCAAACTCCAGTGGCTATCTTATCTGTAAGATTTTTTTTTAGACACTAAAAGTATATTTTGATTAGCCCAGACTTGGTCAACTCTGACACAGTGTTCTTTTCCCTTTAATTTGTGCTCTGTTTGATAAAACAGTCTCTTCCAATATTGTAAGCTAAAATAAATAAAACGGTTGTCTCTTTTAGGCCCCTTTCACAACCGGCACCGTTTGGTCTTCACCAGGCGGTGAGCAGCGACGCAGACCCCAGCTCCGGCGATAGCATCAGCCTGGCCAGGTCCATCAGCAAAGACAGCCTGGCGTCCAACATCGTCAACATCACCCCGAAGCAGCCTCTCCCCTCCGCCCCCGTGAAGAGCAGCGGGAAAAGCTCGCTAAACAACGTGGAGATGGAAGACGACGAGGAAGAACTGATCGCCATCATTCACCCCGGTGCCACCCCGAACCACAGCAGCCTGGAACTTCAGTACGCCCCGCCGGCTCGTTCGCCCGGCTTTGCCGGCACCGCCTGGACGCCGAAATCCCCAAGCGAGGCTACGGAAAATAAGCCGGAGAGCTTTTTCCTGGAACCGCTCCTGCCTGCCGTTCTACGGCCGGCCAAGGAGAAGCAGGTCACCAATAAGGAGGACGAATGCGGGGAAGGGAAAGCCAGAGGTTACGGGCCCAAGCGGGGGAGCGAGGGGCACCCGGCTTCGTCCCGTAAGAAAACCAATGGTAGCCACGGCGACCACAGCCTTAATAGGACTTTTAACCTGGGTTCGAGTTCTGAACTAACGGTGATTGCTGGTCCCAGTTTGGCAGAGCCCCTCGTCCATCACTTGGACGCCCAGGCGGAACCCTTTTGCCCCCAAGCCAGCAGCAGCGTGGAGCTCTCCTCTCAAGAGCGGCCCTCCGCGGGCTTCTTCCTGCATGCCCACAAAGCGGAGGAGGCCGCCGGGTCCAGCAGCAGCAGCACCAGCCTCGGTTACCTGAAAAGCCCCAATTCCCACCGGGCAGAGACCTCGTGGACCATGGTCAGGCAGGACTCGGACTCGTCCATCCTGGACATGGAGGAAGCCGACCGGGACCTGGCGGCCGAGGAGCACCCTCTGATCGCCAAGTACATCGGGGAGGAAGAATCTGCCAAGCTTCAGGAAGACATGAAGGTCAAGGAACACGAAGACAAAGATGACGCCAGCGGGCGGTCCAGCCCGTGCCTGAGCACCATCTCCCAGGTGAGCAGCGTCTCCATGGCCAGCGGCAGCGCCCGCATGACCAGCTTTGCGGAGAGGAAGCTCCAGCGGCTGAACAGTTACGAAACCAAATCCAGCACGAGCAGCTCACAGAAGACCACCCCCGACGGGTCGGAGTGCTGCCCGGCTCCGCTCACCACCTGGAAGCACAGGAGGGAGCAGAGCCCCACCAGGCAGAGCAGAGACAACGTCCACCTCTTGGCGTCCGAGCTGGTGCAGCTCCACATGCAGTTGGAGGAGAAGCGGAGGGCCATCGAGGCCCAGAAGAAGAAGGTGGAGGCCCTTTCCGCCCGGCAGAGGCTGAAGCTCGGCAAGGCGGCCTTCCTGCACGTGGTGAAGAAAGGGAAAGGGACGGAGGTCTCGCCGCCCCTGAAGCCGGAAGACTTCGCCAAAGAGTTCTCCGGGCACAACGGCGAAGTCCTGGAGGAGGACGCTTTGAACCCCAAAATGGAGGCCTTCCTCGCCAAAGAGGAGGTGGGGGTGGGCGAGGAGGACACCCCCAGGGCGAAGGTCCAGGAAATGGTGGGCTTCGTGGAGGAGAGCATCTCCAGAGAGCCCACCGCCCACGAGATCGAGAAGAGCAAGATGGTCTCGGCGGCCCTCCTGGAGGAGACCATCGAGTCCGCCGACCTCAACGAGTGCGACCTCTCCATCGAAAAGCTGAACGAGACCATCAGCACCCTCCAGCAGGCCATCCTGAAGATCTCGCAGCAGCAGGAGCTTCTCATGAAGGCCCCCGCCCTCTCCGCCCCCCGAGGGGGCTCCCAGGACCCAAAGATCAAAGCCCCCGTCCACTTTGTGGAGCCCCTCTCCCCGCCCGGCACCAACAGCCTCCGCAAACCACCCCGGCTGGGTCAAGGCCGGAGTCCCCGTGCGGGGAGGCCCTCTGAACTGAAAGTGGCCAAGGACCGTCCCCATACCACGCCTCGCATCAAGACCCCAACGCCCAGTGTTGACACCTTGCCCCACTTGAGACAATTCCCACCCAGCCATGTGCCCAAGGTGCCAGTCGAAATGGCTCTTGAAAACCACCTGGGCCCAGGTAGCACTCCTCCGCAGGAGAAGCTTTCCTTCGAGAGTTACCGGCTGTGCGACGATAATCAGAGGGGGGCGTTTGTTTTGTCCTCTTCCAGGGACACAAACATCCTCTCGGAAGCCCTCAGAGACGAGAACAGCAACGTGGAGGACTTCCGCCTCCTCGCTTGCTTGGACGTCTCCAAGGAGAACGTCTCGCTGGAAGAGCCGTCCAAGAGCAAAGGCAGCCTCATCGAAGTGGACCTCTCGGATTTAAAAGCCCCCGAAGAAGAAGTGGAAAGCCAGGGAAACCCTTCAGACTCAATCAGTGAAATGGACCAGAAGTCGGGCGTCGGGTTCTTCTTCAAGGTAAGGGCAACAACCAAGGTCAAAAACCCTACTTGGGATCATTCTGGGTCCTGTCCTGTCTCGTATTTGGAGGCAAGAGCGCAAGGAGGAAACGATTGTGATATAATGGCATCATGGCTTCATTGGCCCGTTTGGTTTTTTTTGGGTGGGGGGGGATGTTTTGGGAGCGAAGTTGCAACCTGCCCATTTGTGTTTGGGGAAGTGGTTTCTGAGTGAAGTTGTCACTTTCTGTCAACCCACATTTGACAACAATCGGTCACCCAAGGGTGTCAGTGGCCAGTTTTTGCCTAGTGTGTGTCTGCGTAACATTGCAGTCCAAAGTGTTTCCATTAGGAGGAGGAGGAGGAGGAGGAGGCCTTTAAAAGGAAAATGGGGTTAACTTGAGCACGGCCTGAACTGGTTTCTCTTTCTGAAAACCGTAAGAGCTGAAGAAGCTTCTCGGATGAGAAGCGAAACGTTCTTGAAAGGAAAACAAGAAAGTCCATTTTGCCTCTTGGGGGGGAAGAAAAAGGCACCTTTGGGACAGAAATTGGAGCGTTCTCTAAATCTGGATTTCAGTTCTTGCAATTTCCCAGCCAACATTGTCATGGCAGAGAACCTTGGAAGTTGAAGGCTCTTCCAAAGCTTTTGAGAGGGACTCTCATTTTGGGTGCAGTTAGTTAAAGGGAAATGGGGAAGGCACTTTACTAAGGTGTCGATGTGATCGGGGGGGCTCTAGTTGGTTTATTGTGTACATGTAGACACCTGTGTGTATCCTGGGGTGGTTGTTTTTTTTCCTCAACAGAGATCAAAGTTGAAAAATTAGGAATTTCCAGGTGCAGGAGAGATCGCCGTAGTTGAACCTCTGGTTGTCAAAAGACCAAAGAAAAAATGCCGTAATGTTTAGTTTAAGAACTCTCAGGTCCTGAGAGTAACAGAATAGATTCCAAAAGGAATATCAGGATTTGGGGAGAACTGCCAGCTTGCTACTGCACTTTATTGTAAACCGATGAAATGACAATTGTACAGTTAGGAAAGTCACCGTCGGTGTGTTTTCTCCGAATTGATCCAAGCAATATTTGAACATTCTTCCCCCCTTTCCCCCCCCCCTAGGACGAACAGAAAGCTGAAGATGAGCTGGCAAAGAAGCGGGCCGCTTTTCTCTTAAAACAGCAGCGCAAGGCCGAAGAGACCCGGCTTCGAAAACAGCAGCTGGAGGCAGAAGTTGAACAAAAGAGGGACGAAGCTCGGTAAATACCATTATTCCCCCCCCCCCCCTTGAGGAAGGGGGAAGGTGTAGGGGCTGATTTCCTTTGAGAGTCTGGAATCCACCCTCAACTTTTGCAGGCGAAAAGCTGAAGAAGACCGTGTGCGGAAGGAGGAGGAGAAAGCCCGCCGGGAGCTCATCAAACAGGAGTATTTACGGCGAAAGCAGCAGCAGATTTTGGAGGAGCAGGGCTTGGGCAAACCCAGACCCAAAGCGAAGAAGCCGCGGCCCAAATCGGTCCACCGGGAGGAATCCTACAGCGATTCGGGGACCAAGTGCTCCTCTACCCGTAAGGCACACGCCCCGCTTTGGGGCTTCTGAGCTGAGGGGGTGAAGCCCCGAATGGTTTCCGTGTGTTGACTTTGTCTCTCGCCTTTCTCCTTTTGGTCAGCTGATAACCTGAGCAGCGCCCAGTCGGGATCGAGTTTGTCCTTGGCCTCTGCCACAACAACCGAGCCGGAGAGCATCCATTCGGGAGGAACACCTTCCCAAAGGTAAGAGCACCTGTAGGGAGAACGAAAGGGGGGGGTTTCCTCCCTGCCTTATTTGACTAGGAAGCAAGAATTTCAGCCGGTCGGTCAGGGTGTTTCGCCTGGAACTGCATCTTGTTCTAGAAGTACACTTGAAAAACAACCCCCAGGAAATGAACGAACCACCTGCCAATTTACCTTGGAGGAGGTCGGGCTGGGGGTGTTTGCACCGGTCAAGTTTCTCTCTTTCCTCGCCTGGAGATGATCCATGTGAAAATAGAGGGGAGGTTGGGCGGGTTCCATGCTGCTCTCAGACCTTGCTTGTTTTCTTCCAGACCTTTCATTACCCAGCTAGGTAACATCATCAGTGCTAGCGAGTGTGATTTGCTCCCAGTTTATATCCAGTAGCTCTGAGCTTGGTTGTTTCCTCGCAGACGGTTTGTTATCCAGCTAAGTAACACTGATGTTGCTACCTAGTTGGGTCATGAAGTGTCTTCCAAGAAAACGGCCAAGTTCAGAGCGCACCGGGGGCCTCCTTTCTTTCATTGGTGAGCTACAGATTATCCCGCTTTATTGAAAAGACGCGGGGGGTGGGTTGTGTTTCCTCTGGCAGAGTGGAGTCCATGGAATCCTTGCCCGTCTTGAGCAGGAACGCAAGCCGAAACATGGAGCGAGATTGGGAGAACACCTCGACCGCCTCTTCCATTGCCTCCGTGGCCGAATATACCGGTGAGGAGGGGAGGAGGGAGCCTCCCCGTTTGATCCTCCCCCCCCCCCCGAGGGAAAGGCCGTTGCGGAGCGGGAGATTTCACGTGGGGCCCCTCTTTGGAATCCCAAGGGAAGTGTGGGCGAGTGGGTGGAGCTATGGAAGGGTGGGTTCGATGCCAGGAATGCTTCACCTGCTCACAAAACCCTCCGACCCCGAGCCCCGGTGTGGCGCGAGGGCTAGAAGGCAGCGCTGCAGGTGAATTTTGCTGCCTGCAGTTCAGCCGTTCGATCCTGACTGGCTCAAGTTTGGCTCCGTCTTCCATCCTTCTGAGGTGGGTAAAATGAGGAGCCAGACGGTTAGGCTGACTGGAAACCGCTCAGAGAAGGCCACACAGCCCCGCGAAACGGGGGGGTCTGAGCCTGAGGGCTTTGGGGGCTCTTTCTTTGCAGGCCCGAAGCTCTTTAAGGAGCCCAGCAGCAAGTCCAACAAGCCCATCATCCACAACGCCATCTCCCACTGCTGCCTGGCTGGGAAAGTGAATGAGCCGCATAAGAACTCCATCTTGGAGGTGAGTCTTTCTCGGGGGGGGGGGGGGGTTTGGAAACAGTGGGCCACCTGTTAACGGAGATGGACGGGCTCCCCGTTTTCTTCGGGACAAAAGGCCAGACCAGGGTGCCTGAACCTAAACAATAGGGACCCTGGTTTAGTGCAATATTTGGGCAGCCTTTCCAGTTGTGATGAATTCAGCACATCAGAGCTAAACACCGAAGTGGCGCCTGCCCAGGTGACAGTGGTCCAAGGGCGGGGCTGCCCTTGGGAAGCTTAGCTTGAAGCCCCCGGCCCCCCTCTGAGCAGCTCTGCAGGCTGACCTGAACGCCAAGAGCAGAGAAGGGCTGTACCCCTTAGTATTGGACTGCGTAGTCCTTGGGGCTCCTCCCGCTTGCTTGCTTGCGGGCGTTTCACTACCCAAGTGGGCAGCCTCATCAGTGCTAGAAGGGAGTGGGCTTTGCGACGTGGAGGAGGAGAAAGACCGTGGGGTCCTTGACGCTCTCTGAGCTCAGTGGTTTTCTTGCAGACCTCTCATGACCCAACTAGGTAACCTCATCAGTGGCAGAAGGCAGTAGGGTTTGCCCTCTTTGTTACTGACCCAGCCCAAAGGATCCCCCCCGCCCCCGGTTCCTTGGGCCCTTCGCTTTTCCTGCCCCTCAAATGCCGCCTCCTCTGCCTGCAGGAGCTCGAGAAGAGCGAAGCCAACCACTACATCATCTTATTCCGCGACGCCGGCTGCCAGTTCAGGGCCCTTTACTGCTACTATCCTGACACTGAAGAAATCTACAAGCTGACTGGAACGGGCCCAAAGAGCATCGCCAAGAAAATGATCGACAAGCTGTACAAGTACAGCTCGGACAGGAAGCAGTTTAACCTGATCCCGGCCAAAACCATGTCGGTCAGCGTCGACGCGCTGACGATCCATAACCACTTGTGGCAATCGAAGCGCCCTGCCGTGCCAAAGAAGACCCCGAACCGCAAATGACGGGGGGGGGGGGGGGGCCGGCGGGACCGAAGGCAGCGTGTGGACGCTTAAGTGGCTGCCGCAGCCGTCCCTGGCTCCTTGCGGCCTTTCACGAGAGACCAGACCCAAAGCGGGGGATTCACGACTCTCTCTCCTTTTTCTTTTAAACTTGAAGCTCTTCGTTGGCACCAGTTGGGACCCCTGTCTTCCCCTCCCTTCTTTCCGATTCAACACTCCTGCAAAAAGGAAGACAAAAAAACCAGGACGCCGCCTCCAAGTTGGCAAAGCTGCAGTTTAGGAGGAGAAAGAAAACCCCCAGCAGCTTCTGGATTCCTTAAAAGGATCCTCGCCCCGACTGCATTTTACTGCCAATGTGAAGCCAGGCTCTCGTTTCTGGAGGGAGGGGAGGGGAGGGGGGGGGAAGGGAAGGCCAGGCCACCCCCGCCCCCCCCCTCCCCCCGCCCCTCAGCTCAGTTTACCTACAGTATCCATTTCTTGATCATAAGGCACTGAGAGATGGCAAAAATGCTCTCTTTTTTAAATAAAACAAATAAATAAACGGAGACAGAGGACATATGCAAAAATAACATGAAAAAATTGTGACGGCTTGCGAACTTTCGGTCAAAACACAATCATGAAGAAACCGAGAGGTGCTACCGGCTTGGATGGAGCTCGCTTGAAACTTGACATGGCAGAAAGAAAAACAGGTGGATTTTCCAATTCGTATCCTCCTCTCCTCCTTGGCCCGTCTGTTTTCCTTCCTTCGCTGGACAGACCCCCCTAGGAGTAGCGGAACGTTTTTCACTCGGAGCCCGTTTCCTCTCCGTCAGATGGCGCACTCAGTTATTCACCGATAATTCCGATGCTTTTTTTAAGAAACAATCACGTTTAACAACCCTGCCCTGCTACGTTGTCCTGTCTGTCCGCCTGTCTGTCTGTCCTTTGCTGGATGAACAGCATGCTCTTACGAGGGAGTGCGCTCCCTTTTTCCCCCCTTCTTTCTCCCCCCCCCCTTTTTAAGTTTTCCACGGGAGCTCTTTTTAATTTGGGAGGGGAGGAAATGCGATGAGACGACATATAGAAAAAAGCCAACCAATTTTCCCCTGCGACAGGCAAGTTTTCAAAACAAATCTTGTGTTTGGTTTGAAAGCTCAGGGCTTTGGTGGGGGGGGGGGCGTTGTTTGGGGTTTTTTTTTTTCCCTTCCCCTCTCCTTTCATCCTGAAATATTAAACCTTTGAGTTGAAACCTTTAAACCTGTGTGTGCTTTCACCTTTAAAAACAACAACAACAACCAAACCAATCCTTTTCACAACTGGGAATGAACGATGCAGGAAGCTTGGAGGATGATGTGTTTTAAAATGTCTCTTCCCTCCCCCCAGGAAAGCACGCTAAAGAATTTCTGCTGCCTTCAACCCAATTTTTTTCCTTTTCAGACTTTACTGCTTGGATGATTTATATATTATAATATTATTTTTATGTATATAAATAATATTATAATATATATATATATATATATATATATATATAATATGAATGAATATATTCATTCTGACAAAGGTTTTTAGTTTGCACATGTTTACTTCTTGAAATGTTACTTGAAGACCTTTTGAGTTCTGCAGAGACACGCTCTTTCTAACACTAGAGAAGAAGGAGAGAGATGGAAACACACACCCTTGTGTTGTTATTTATGAACCTAGAAAAATAATAATACTAATAATGGGAGGGCAAAACGACTTTTGTATAGAATGAGGCGAGAAACGGCGTTCTTGACACTAAGCTAGAAAGGGGGTCAGGGGTCCGGGTGGTCGTCTGTAGTCGGCCGTTCCTTCCCTCAGACGTTGGTTTTAAATAGTGTGTAAATTTTGTTTAATAGTCGATTACCTTGTAAATAAGGCTTCGTTTCTTAAACTATTCAGAGGATTCAACGTGGTTGTGAGCCATTTTTCTTTCTTTTTTTTGGTTACATGCTTTTCATGCCTGATTTTTCTCGCTGTTTGAGATATGACATATTTATTTTATGGAAGCACTGAAAATAAAGGCCATCATCCGATTTTGGTTATTCCATGCATTTTATATATGTGTGTGTGTGTGTGTGTGTGTGTGTGGTTAAACGTGTCAACATATGCACGAGGCTTTCAAGATGTGTTTCGTTATGTTCCTGCATGTCACGGGGCTGTTTATTATTATTTATTATTTCCCAAAGCCAGTTATGATTTTAATGCCATAGATTTTAAAACATGTCAATCATTGCCCATGGAATTTTTTTTCTTCATGTTGGTCTGTAGGGGTGAGTTACCTATAGGTGAGCGATGCTCAGCCTCTCCTTTAAATACCATTGGTGGCCATGGATCCCCAAGACTTAACTCCAGATTTAAATAACATTTTTTCAAGCCTTTGTGGCGACATCATCCCCCCCCCCAACACAAGGGTTCCTGGACCACAGATTGAGAACGGCTGTGATATCAATTATTACCGAAAATGTTTTGCTAACGGGATTGACGTCTCTAGGAAGCTGGAGAGAGAGATCCACTTTCTCTGTAGCTAAGGGTTGGACGGTCGTGGCTTGCAGCTTTCCAGAGGGAAAGTTTTTAGGGCCCAGAGACCGTACAGGCTTCGTTCCCCTTCCCAACGCCCACTTCTGGGTCCCACAGAACTCTTCTGTTCCTTCAAAGCCCCCTCAAGCCCCCATAAGTCACTTTTTTCAGTGCCATTGTAACTCGGAACAGTTGCTCAATGGACTGTTGTAAGTTAAGGACTACCTGTATGTCGTTGGCATGATTTTAATCGTATGTTTGCATATACTAAGCCAGTTGGAGGATGACTTGGGAGACTAGGATACAAAAACCCTTGATGTGTAACCCTGAGGCTGACCGGAGGGCAAGGGGCTACTTTTCATGGGTCAGAAGTAGCACCGAATCTTTTGGGGAAGCCTCTTGAGACTTCAGTAGGATAGGAGAACAGCAACCACACACAAAGGGGCCGTCCGGTTGAGGTTTATCGTCTTTATTCCGACGATCCCTGGTTTCGAAGAACCGAGTTGGGGGACCTTGGAGGTCTTCTAGCCCAACCCCCTGCTCAAGCAGGAGACCGGATAGACCATTCCAAGCAAATGGCTGCCCGGTCGTTTCTTGAAAGCCTCCAGTGACAAAGCGCCCACAACGTCGGCAGGGAAGCCCTTCCACGGATTCATCCTTCGGTCAGGAAATCCTCCCGAGATCCAGGTTGGAATCTCTCCTTGAGAAGCTTCCACCCCCTTCTTTTGGAGAGCAGGTCCCTCCAATATTGGAAGGCGGCTTCCTATCCCCCCCTAGTCCTTCTCTTCCTTAGACCAGGCGGGCCTCGTTCCCTCCACCCGTTCATCGCATGGCTTGGCCTACCGACGTAATTTCACTAAGCCCGTTTCAGGGTGAATTCTCTCGTGTGTTTCCTCATTCAATGTTGCAAAATCTCTTAAAGCCAAACGGGTTTTGTAAGTGCCGGTTGCTCATCCTTTGGCTTGCTAAGAAGTAATGCTTGGGGAGGGGAGCGAGGCAAGAAACAGAGCGACCCCCCCCCCCCATGGAAGAGACCCTCAGGTGGGCTTCCATAGTAGGCAGAAGTCTGGCCTGAAATAAATTCTAAGCCACCAGAGTCCAAACTGAGACCGGAAGCCATTTCCCAGTAAGACTCACTAGCCACTGCTAATTTAGAGTAGCAAAACTTACTGTCCATAAAGCGCAATGGCATAAATGCAAAGCCGAAATGCATGGAATAAATGGATTCTTCCTCGAATGAACCCCAACTGCAAAAAAAGGTTGAAACTGAGTTAGAATAAAAGAATACATTTTATAGGAAAGGGCCTTGGGCGTAACTATCTATCCCCTGAAGCCGATATTTTTACGGTGCATAATTCTAAAGATCTTCAACTTGTCAGGCCAGGAGATGTCGGTCAAAGGAACTGAAGCAGCATTCTTGTGTGAAATGGTTCACTTATTTACTGCTAATGGGGAAACTCCATGGCGATGCTATGGAGATACAACTCGTGCAGCCACGTGGACAGATGGAGGAGACCCCCCAATGAAGTGAGGAACTCAACGCGCAGCAGGTTTCAACTTGTCTCGGTTACTGAAAGGAGCTTCAGGCAGACAATCTGAGAGGTTTTATGAAGAGTTTGGCACCTGCTGTTCTCGTAAAAGCTCCTTGATGCTTTGAGAAAGACGACGGTACGCGGATTTGAGCCTCTGCTCGGTAAGGAGAAGTTGGCCAAGATGAAATGTAAGTGGTCCTGTCTTGCTTTCATTGTGTGTGTGTGTGTGTGTGTGTGTGTGTGTGTGTGTGTGTGTGAAAATTGACTCCGAGGCGAATCATTCTAATCAGAATAACAGAGTTGAAAGGGACCTTAGAGGTCTTCTAGTCCAATCCCCTGCTCAAGCAAACATTCAACCTGGAGGATGGATCAAATGATGCCATCCGAACATCCAAATGATTCTATTAGACACCTTCACTTGAACCAACTAACCACGTCAATCTGATTCAGAAAGTTAGTTCAATTAGAAAGAACTGCTGAATCCAAGAGCCATTCCTTAAAAATCTCAGATAAACGGCAATCTGAAAATGGTCGAATAAAAGAAGCTATGATTTGTAGAAATATCCTTTCTCCCCCTGTAAATGGAAAAGGATAATTTCTCCTCTTCTTGAATCTATTGATCAATGAAAGACTGAGCACGTGGTCCATTAACTGATTGCTTTATGCCATTTAAGAACTGCTACCTCTATTTTGAAGGAAGAAAATGAGAAAGTGCTAGGAACAAAGGGGTATTTTCAGGGGGGAGAGATACGGTTGGCTAAACTATTCAGTGCATACTTTCTCCTCCAGAAAAGAATTCAGTTTGATCAACAAAAGCACCTCAAGTGTTAAAATGTTTTCACGTTAATAAGGTGTTCCTGCAATTAAACAAAGACCTTTTCTAATTTACAAGATCTAGGACACTTTTCAAAAGCATTGCTTTTATCCTGAATGAGCAGGTGGATGCTTGATCCCTTTTATCTCGGTGCCTTCTGCTGAATTGAGTATTGTTCAGGTATCATGGTGTCCAGAGACCATCCAGCTTCTCCTTGTTTTCTTAGGGATTCTTGGATTCGCTTTGCTTTGGACGTCCGTTGGGCTCTCTAGGTTGCAGTGCGTCCTGGAGAAAGAATACTTCTGCTCGTCCATCCCAAAGGGTGAGACCTCTTCCAAAGATGGGTTGGGATGGAATATCCAATTGTGGTTGCAGGCACCAAGAATTGCTTATAAAATGGCCTTGGAAAAACCCACTGAATATTTCTGTTCCAGACTTCCCTGCGGGCCTCACATCCATTCTCTTCGTGGTAACCAATCTGGGGACGCTCAACTCCACCGTCTTCAAGAGCCCAACTTTGTCGTCCGTCACCAGCCTTGCTTTAGCTAACAGTGGCATCCACAGAATT